TTAGATACTTTTCCAGTTTTTATGACATGCACCATGATTTTAAAATAGACGTGTTTAATTATGATCGGAAGTGCATATTAACTTAATAATACAAGTTTTATAGATACTATATATAGATCAACTTACAATACTTTTGATAAACTAAGTAAATTGGTTGGTTTTGCTAATAAAATACTGTGGTATTTGTCTATATCAGTAAAATACAATTTGCTCTTCATCAGTGTTATCACAGAAACCATAAAACCACCCTTATCAGTTATAAATGATCCGTCGACCTTAGGTTCTGACAAACTTCGTCCAATAATGGCTAAAAAATTTAATTTTTTAAACAATTTTATCAATTTACAAAATTTGTGTCAATCTTTCTGAGTCTATTCATGATGAGACAAACTATAACGGAAGAAAATTGTGCCTCCTAGCAGCAATAACAAAAAGTTCCATCATAACCACAAACTTCAGACATAGAAGAAAACCTGGCACAACAAATGGCAATCAGAGAGATTACATATATTAATATCCAAAAATGGAAAACAACAGTGCATGACGTCAGATCATATAGAAGAGCAAATGATGAATACAAATGAAGGTAGTTAAAACAGAGAGAACAAGATAAAACCAAAGAAAAATCTAACAAGAGCAAATAACACAGAGGAAATCTGTAAAAATATGAAAGTATCCATTTTGAATTTAGATGAAGAGGTGCTAGGATAGAGGGAAATAAAAAGGGGAAAATAATGCTGATGGATTGAAGAAAAACCAATCAAGAAATAAATGGATATCAATTACAGAAGAAGATCAACTAAATGAATACAAAGAAAAAAATAAAGTAACAAACTATGTTGTAAAAACAAAAACAGACTGTGGATGGAAGAGTTGTTAAAAGACCTAGAAGAGAATAGTAACAACAGCGCTAAACTATTTTGATACCTGCTCAACAAAAAAAAATGCAGACTAGTGGTTAAAATCATGAAAAACACACTTCACAGAACTATATAGATGGAAAGAAACCCTAAAAGGGTAGAATGTGCAACAGAAGACATGAAATATAATGAATATGGGAAACAGAAGAAATATCCGAGGATTTGAAAGAAGGTAGATAGATACCTTTTACCAATATTTAAGGAAGGAGAAGTAACAGACTGTAACAACTATATAATAATATCTATTCGGAGTACAACGTTCAAAATGCAATAGACAAAAAATCACGCAATTTGCAGAGAAAAAAATTGGAGACTGCCAGTAAGGATTCAGCGAAGGGAGATCCACTATAGATGCGATCCATCCTAATTACACAAACAATCGAGAAATGCCACAGACACAACATAGAACTCCACACCCTCAGACCTCAGACAAGCCTTTGACTATATTGGAAGAAATAAATTATTTATTGAAATTATAAATCAATATATACTAGCAAAGCTAATCAGATTAAAGACAATGACTATGGATGGATTTGGAACTAAAATAACAACAGAAGAAGGTAGCACAAAATTACAACAGAAACAAACAGGAGTGCGACAAGGACGATTACCTGTCAACCATACTATTCAACATAGCAGTCGAAGGAACAGTCAAGGCCAGCGGAATCAAAGGAACTTGGCCACTCCTCAACACAAATAGTAGCACATGTAGATGACATAGTTCGTATGGTAAGAGATCAGGAAATATTAAAAGAAGCATTATCAAGAGAAGATATAAAACGAGAGAAATCAAGATAGAAAACTACACTTTTGAAAGAGTTCAACAATTTTAGTACTTGGGAGTGATTGTAAATGGCAAAAATAAGAGAACTGAAGAACAAGTGAGTCAACAAAACATACTGGAGGTACCACAGGATAACGAAGGATAAGAACTTATGCCTCACAGATAAAGATGAAGAAAGATTAGCACTATAGCAAAGAAGGTCACCAGATGGAAACCAGAAGGAAACCAGAAACTGAAAGATCTAGTGCAAGAACCAGAGAGCGATGGGAGGACCAGGTCATGAGAGATATCAAAATTCTAAACGCGAGAAACTGGAGGAACTCACCCACAGATCGAAACGAGTGGAAGAAAATTGTAACGAAAGCCAAGTCATACTACAAACCTTGATAATGCACAAAAAGAATGCAGAGAGAAAAATCTTAATAAAATTTCTAATCCGGACCGATCTTTAACAACCCCTGAGTTTTTATGCTTAGTAAGTTACAATTATTACTTCGTCACCAAAGCGTTAATTTAGCATTAGATATAGTAAATGTTTTCCTCAAACTGTTAATTCTTAAATTCACATCCCATAAAAACCTTTTATCACCAATTGAACAATTTACCGACCAATAGAAGCGTTATTGAATTCATTTTTTTAATCGATCCCAACTAATTGTAATAATAGAACTGAAATTCCAGGAACGTTCATCGTCGTCTTCAACAAAATTAAAAGTCAATTCTGCTAAATTGATATAATAACTTATTTTCGAATGATTGATGAATGAGTACGATGGAAAACATCAGAATTTTGTGGTTTGTTTCAATTAATTCAAGGTGATTTAAGGAATGTTTATATAAAAGTATGTAATGTAAACATGTTTAAAGTGGTTCAACAATAATTATTTATAGAATATTAAATACGCGTAAATGAAACGGATGGGAAAGGCGGTCATTTTAAGCCTTGAGTAAGTAGATTCTTTCTTATAATATGTGTGAATTTTCGGTTTTTATAACATTTATCATAACAATTTTAAAATGCTATTTTTGCAAAGTATGCAGTAATGTGTGTACTTTAAATGGCTCCACGAAGTTGTGTATCTTATAGATAATCACAAATATATACTCAAACTGGACAGTTGGAAAGATATTTTATTTTTCATATATAATATATAATTTCACAGAAGTAGGTGCACTATTTTTTGTCAATTTTTTTTTTGTCATTTAATATAAAAATGAGTATGCAAAAAACTTTTTTCAACAGAACGTGAACGTGTTAAAATATAATACATATGGTTTGTAACAAAAGTCATTGTTTAAAAACTACCACCATTGAACAAAATGGTTACTTTTTTGACAATTAAGTAAGCAAAAAAAGCAGTCATTGTGTAAAATCTTTTCACTGCATGCCTTGCAAAATGATTACTCCCTTGAAATGCTTTATAACTTACTCCTCTTTTGCTACATGACTGTGTTCATCTTCCTCTCGTGTTTCCTTCCGCCTGTATGGCTTCGTTCAAGCTTTCTTTCCTCATTTGAATGCTGTAGGTGAGTGTGAACTTGTTCAAACATTGTATTCACGATTTTTGTTTTCCAATTGGTGTATTTATTTTTTTCCCTGTTATTTGTTTCCCTGATACGGAGTATATGCATTTAGTTTTGCTTTTGTTACAAGAGTCGGATTATGTTTCCTTTTGGATCTATTTTTTTTTCCTCTTTTTAGAGAAGGTCTGGGATCTTCAAAAGACATCTCAGGATGCTAGGATGCCGCCTGATAGGACAGGATCTTGCAGGATTCGTTCTTTCGTTTTTTGTAGTCCTGGTGTTAGTTCCCGAGGTACTAAAACGCCCTCTCGTCACCAAGTCTACGCCAAAAGCCTACCTACTAAACCAGACACTCCTCTGTCATCCAGTTATCCGGAAGCGGAATGGCCCTGTAAAGTTGAACATCAAATTCCGAAGTACTACTTCCATTATCCACAGACTGTCAGCAAGGAGGCTCCCTGTTCCTTTTCCCTGCTTCTCCTTTTTTTTTGGTCCCAAAAACTGGCTTTTTTAGAGGAACCCCGTTTCAGGTAGCGCTTGGAAGACCCTCATAGCCTCTAGTACGGCATCACTCCCAGCCGGGCGTTGTCTTCTTCCCCACACTATGACTGACGCATTCTAACTCACTTTCCCTCTTAACTTTACCGTTTGTCCAGTTGTTCTTTTTCTTCTTTCAACTTGATCACTGCAGGAATGTAGTTGTGAACACAAATCCAACCTGCTTTTTTTTAATCATTTTCCCAATGTCCACAGTATAGGCATTCATCCGTGTCAGTTTTTCCGAAGCTATAGAGGTAGTCCCAAAACGCCCGTGTTCTGTGAGCACCTGCATTAAGAAATAATCCAGAATATAACTCTTATATTCGGAATCAGCATCTTTGTCAATTTTGCCATATCATTCGTGTTGTGCCATTCATCTTGCCATCTTTCAAATGACCTTTCACTTTCCTGTCTTCTCTCGGCCATAGTAATGTATTTGCCTTTCCTGTCCTTTAAAAGATTCAAAACCAATAGAAATGCCTTGGATACTTGCGAAATTGTTCTTATTAATACCTGTATCTCTGTTCAACAACTTTTTCAATATATTATCTGTTGTTTATCTACGAATACAAATTTGTTCTGTGAGTGTTGATCAAAGTTGTTTTTCTCTAGTATCATCTCCATCGTTGATTACATGTACAAATTAAATAAATAAAACTCTTAAAACTGAAATTATTATTAATTAAAAAAAAATAAAGACACGAATATCTAGTAAACACTCTGTATAAGATAAATTACAATTTTATTCGTCATTATGAAAAAAGATACCCAGTCTCCCCGCCTGCCATCGCGGTGTAATATCGCAGACAGGCCAGAGACAGACGATATCGAAAACTGGAAACAAAAAATAACCCTTCCGACTTCCATTGTTCTTATTTTGAATAATAGAACATGACAATTTGATTAATATTACTGAAAATTCGAATACTTTTTCTCTCTGCGGGTGGCAAGTTCATATAGATACCACCTGGGGTACAGGGGTGGGTTGGCTCGGGCTATAATATGCCTTAAGTCGCTATCGGTTAAGGTTTTATCGGTTTCCGATTTTTAGGGAACATTTGAAAACAATGGAATGCAATCTAGGCGATTGTCATCAAGATTATTGATTTCCATTCGCTATTAAAAAGACGCGGTCAATCCAGTACACGTTTAGATAATAAGATATAAAACTAACGATAAAAAACGATGTTCTTTTACAAAATTTAATTCTAATATTTGTTTTGTTGTTTCAGGTAAAATATTTGAAAACTTCAGTCTCAACCCTCCCGTAAAAAAAGAGGGAACACCTCCATCACAGCCACCTACACCTCCTTCGACTCCTCTATCGCCAAAATCTAACGATACCACCCCGAAACTATTAAGCACTCCCTTTACGCCTACACTAACCTTACCGCATTCTCAATCTAGTCAAAAAATACCTCAAGTACCCCCAATCACCTGCCAAAGCACGCCTCTGAACCTCATGGGGAAGAAGCATCAACAACAACAGCCATACACCAATGGTACTTTACCTCATTCTCCAGATATGCTGTATACTAGCGCCGAGATTGAAGCTATCAGGAGAGTTAATGAAGAAACTATGAATTTAGAAAAGACTACGCCTAGTGGGAGGGTAAGTAGTGTTCTACTAAACAAATTGTGATACAAAGGTTGTCCCGAAATTTCTTTTTTACATGTCAGTATTAATCTATGTTACAAATCAACGTCAATTTCTCTTTACATACCATACTAACGGTTTATTTCAGGTAGTGATACCCACTTTGTAATACCCATAAGGATATTTTATTTAAAGCATTATCTACTACATCTAAATGAATTTTTTGTTGAATGGCTTTAAGGTGGACATTTCTGTCTTTCATTCATCTGAATATATTCTATGTAATATTGTCCAATATTGTTCATTTTGTACGTCCTTTTTGAATCGGCTATTGCAATTTTTTTGTAATCATACTAATATGAGAAATCATATGATCTAATTATCATCATCAAAGCCTTGCATTCCTTATGAAATGTTCTTACTTAGAGCTCTCTGATTTGCTTATTGTGGTGAATTACTTCGCATTCTTCTTCTGTATTGTCAAAAGTTTGTTAACTTGGCTTTTATTACAGTTTTCTTCCACTCATTTTGTTCTGTGAGAAAGGCTCTCCAGTTTTAACATCTCTCATGACCTGGTTCTCGAATCTCTCTGCAGGTCTTTTCTTTGGCCTTTCAGTTTCTGGAATATTCTTAATATCCTTAATATTTCTTCATTATTACTGTGGGGCACAATGCATCTTCCTAGGGTATCTCCAGTATGTTTTTTGTCTTCCAGTACTCCTTATTGCATTATATCTTATGACTTCTCTTATGCATTCTCCCTCTTTTCTTTATTTGAATCTATATTGGTGGTGTGTTTCTGTGGTGTGTCTATACCGTGGTGTGTTTCCCATTATCCACTGTCAATTTGAACCACTGGTCTGCATTATTGGGCTTTTAGGTATCCCAAAAATTTAGCGTTATCGTTACTATTCCGTTACTGTTCTAGGTCTTTTAACAGTTTTTCCATCCACTGCCTTTTTTATATTTGCAACATTGGTCGGCTACTTTCTTTCCTTTTTTTATTTCCTGCTGTCCTATCACCTCTTCAGCTGAATTCAAGACAGTGTTATATACTTCTGTTAGATTTTCCTGTGGGGTTGAGCTGATATGAGCTGATAATTTCACTCACTCATAACCACCACCTTTCCCGACTGTCCGATTTTATTTTATTTGCATTCGAGGTTGCCATTCGTATTGGAATAGCATGTGGCATTCAGACATGTTTTGACTCTGCTGATATGAATACACCCTTGATACTTAATCTGCGCTTCGGAGTAAATAGCAAATTTAGCAACAAAGCGAGTCTACTACTTTTTCTTTATTAATTGTTAGCGGCAAAAATTTTATTCGAGTGGCAAATTTATGCGGTGATAAATATATCAGTATTCAATCGTTCTCCTCAAAGTGTTTAGGATTTTAAGAAAATCCTTAATTGTTTACTCGAGCGTGCACTATCTTCTTTCTTCACAGGTATTACAAAATACTAAACTGCAATACATTCAAATAATGAAGAGTCATACAAACTACTTAAATACATTCACCCACTACTTCTTCCTCTTAACTTGGCTTTTTTAATAAAATATCTAGTTCTTTGGTAGAACAATAAAGTCTCAAATTAGACATAAATCACTGAGAACATGAATATAAATATTGTTACTGGTAATTTGATTTTATTGTTAACATTTCCTGTTGTAACTTCTAAACGAAGTACTCGACATGAGACTGACTGCTTCTGTAATTTTTATTAAAACTCTTCCCACATACAAATATACCCAGTACAGGACTGGCAAAGATTTTTCAAATTAAACATTCTCTAGGAAGTTGACACTTGAAGTTGAAAACTTGTGTTTCTTATTTACTGTGCTTCATTTTTATAAATGTTGACACTGTGTGAATGTGTTGCCTATCTTTGTTTATCTAATTAATGGTTTAATTTGTTAGTTTTGTCTATTTTATGACCATCCTTTATATTGTTTCCTTGTTTAAAAACTACTTCGACATCACCGTTCAAAATATTTTTGGTTTGACGGTTTTGGTATTCCTATAGGATCCTTCTTCTTCTTCAAGTGAACCAGAATATATACAAGAAATTTTCATACGTTTTGTTTCGAAATACCTCCTCTATGTTTTGTGTTACAAAAAGCTTACCTAGGGGCAGATATAGCAAGTGACCACAACCTTTTTTAAGCAGACATGAACAGCCCCCAAAGCAGCTAGAATTAATCTACTAAGAAAACTAAAAGAAGCTGATTTCTACCAACAGATCAAAGAACAAATTCGCAAGTAAGTCCAAAAAGTAGAAAGACAAGGACAAACAATAGATATCAAGAAATAAGGGCATTAATATATGGTCTGTCGGAACCACTGTCATTACTTGTTACTGTCTTCAATCATAATATTACTAGAGTAGTATAATGAGGTGGTTTCTTTGTGCCTTCTTCATCGCTGTACATACAGCTTTTCGTGGATACCACTGCGCTGCCTGCTATCGTCATGTATTCGCAATATCTAACTACCGTCACTTAGTTCAGCCTGAAGGTCGTTACAGTTACCGAAATATTGAACATAAGGTTGCTAAGTGAGAGGTGTTCACCCTATAATGACTAGTTGTTTAAAATTATCTCCAATGTATAATTCCCGATGCCTACCCTCTCATTGTTGATTTGTTTATTTAAATTGCTCATCATTTTTTATTGTCAATTCTTTTTCTAATTCTTTATTCAAGTTATTTATTTATTTGACATCCAGATCGTTTCTGTCAACAAGGTAGAAGTTTTTAGCAATGTTTTTTGTTATCGCTATCCCTTTTCAGTGCTAATGCACGTTTTTGGGCTTCTTTGTTTGCTTTTATGGCGTGTTTTTTACAAAAAAAGACTACATTTCATAACTATGCAGAATTTATATGATCCCGATGTTTAAATATACTCTGTATAGTTTCGATAAACATGCCTACAGTTTTTTTATTTATCATAGAGTACATAATTTTTTTTAACTCTGCATAACGTTTCACCATTGGAGTTGGTAAATATCTAGTAGCAGAAGTAGGGGTAAAGATCTTTACACCATGATTTATCGGTGTTTTTGACTGTTATTATTTTTCTTTGTGTTTGGCTTACAAATTTTGACCTATATACATTTTTCTTGTATCTATTCTTCCATGGCAGTTGTTAAACTTTCTTATTAAGTTCTTTGTAACTTATCACAAGTGTAATTGATAATACTGTAATTAAACGCATAAAAGGTTAGTCCGATGCTGCATTAATATCTGACAAAATCACAGAACTGAAAAGTACTCTTCTCCTAGTACTTATCTCCCCGATTTTAATCTAAGCATTGTTTAATTACGATTCCAAATAGAACTAGAGTTTCACCCAATTCTCACATTTTTTTTCCTCAGAATAATTAAAATTATGAACAATAAGTTGGAAATTTACTGCCAAAAGTAACAGTTAGATGTAATTATGGGAGAAAAAGATGCTTTTCAGGCATTTGAAAATAATTACGGCGATATCTTTTAGTCGATCAACTCATTCACGGTAGCTATAATTTTATATTAACAGTTCCTTAGATTTAATTTTGATACAATTACGATTTACATAAAATAGCAAGCAATTTTGCCATCGGTAGATTAGAAAAATGGGTCAAGTAAACGCGGAATGGGTTTTTAATTATTTTGGCATCGGATTGAATGCTATTTAAGTCCTATATCATTATTTGTTTTGAAAAGATTTTAAAATTTCATGTAAACATTTGTGTGATTCGTGTTTGTTTAGTTTTTACTATTAAAAACTAGATACACATACATTGGTCAAACTAAAAACTTATTAGAAAGAGAATATTTTAACACAAACATATTGTTGAACTTTTTAGATATTAACGGTCTAAAAAATAGAATTCTTTCGGAGTTTCGGCAGAATTGTTGAAATATGGAGGACCTGAGCTCTGGGGAAGAATCCATTACCTGAAAGTTGGTATGGACCAAGGAGCAAATGCCGGAGGAATGGGCAGTTCATGTTATACAGCCAATATACAAGCTTTTAAACAAGCCATTTAAACAAGCTTTTGATGGTGTGAAAAGAGATAAAATGCTGGAAGACCTCCGAAATCTAGGTATACCAAAAAAATATATTAGCCTCATAAAAATGGCGTTGCAGGGTTCAAAAGCCGCAGTTAGAGTAGATGAAGAATTATCTCCCTTGTTTGACATCAACTTGGGGGGTGAGACAGTGAGACGTACTTTCAACCATGCTGTTCAACCTAGTTCTTGAAGTAGCCATCAGAAAAACCAATGTAACCGGCCATATAAACACCAAAACAGTACAAATTACTGCATATGCAGACGATGTCGTCATTATTAGTAGAAGCAACACACGACTAACGGAAACGTTCAAGGAAATTGATCCTGAAGGACAAAATAGAGGGCTTTCAATAAACGAAACATAAACTAAGTACATGACCATCAAAAAAACACCTGAGAATGAAAATAATATAGCAATAGACAACTATACTATTGAACGTGTGGATACCTTCACATATCTGGGCACAGAAATCAATCATAAGAATTCCGTAAGTAGCGAAATTAATTCACGTATTTCTAGTGGAAATTGTACATATAATGCTAAAAAAGATTAATGACATCGAAATTATTAGATAAAAGAACCAAAATGTCTATCTACAGAACTTTGATTAGATTCGTAGTAACCTATGGTTGTGAATCCTGGGTAATGACGAAAAAAGAGAAAGCCCAACTCAGGACATTCGAGAGAAAGATACTGAGAAAAGTATATGGCCTGGTGCAAGAGGAAGACGGCACAAGGAGAATCAGGAGAAACGACGAGGTTAATGAACTGAATGAAGGGTATGACATTGTAAGATTTGTGAAAAGTCAAAGACTGTCATGGCTGGGACATGTTTAGCGACAAGAAGACATAAAAACGACAAAAAATGTTACAGTGGAAGCCGGTAGGAAGGCGGAAAAAAGGAAGGCCCAGGACGAGATAGTTGGGTGGCGTGGAAGACGACCTGTCAACTATGACTTATGGAGGAGAAGGGCCCAAGAGAGATCTGAATGGAAGGACATAGCCAGAACCAGGCAAAGACCCATCCAGGGTTATGATGCCAAAAGAAGAAGAAGAAGCAATCCTTTTCAATGTGAAGTACGAATAACTAAAGAGTTTTTATATGTGGTAAGAGATGAATACTACAAGAAGGATATACCTCTGTGCGATCAGCCAAAAACATCCATCTTTGGTCATAAATGCTCTTCTTCTTGGTTGTCATGGTTTCAGTTCTATAATAGATCATATTTAGTTCTATTTTTATTGTATACTTATATTCTCCATCACAAAAAACATGCTTCGTAGCGAAACTAATAAAGATAGCTAAACGTTTGAGATAAACATAAAATTGGGGAACAGAAAATCAATATTGGAGTACCTATACAATCTAATGAAAGTAAAAAAAGGCAGAAAAGAATATTAGAAGAATAGTTGTTGCAACCATTAACGATAGACTGCTAGAAATGGAGAAACATACTCGAAATCAACACGTACATGATACCAAGATAATTGTGTTAGTTTAATTAAGAAAAAACGTATCATCCAATACCTTATTTACTTTTATTGCTTCTGTTACATGACACTACACTTCTGAATGGACTGTACATCCCATTAAAGCCTATTAGATATACGTCTTCCTTGTAGCTCATTCATAATGTACAAGACAACTGCGTGTGATCTTTAACACGTAAAAAGAGATTAGTTTATTGATTAATTTGTTAATTTCAGTTCTTGTAGTACATTTCTAATTGTGTTTAATTGCTCAGTTAATTGCACCAAAGACGTATAAGACACTTTTTGCACCGTTTAAAGGAACTTGGGTATGGGAGTCACATACCAAACGTTAGATGCGTAATAAATAAACTATTTTTTTATTTACAGCTTGAAATTCATTAATGTTTTGTAGTTTGATGGACCAATTTTATTTCAGGGGATTTTTCCTTCGAATTTTCTTCCATTTTCCCAAGCATTAAAGACTGAATCTTCTAGCCCTCCCCCACTAGAGCCAAATCCACTAAATGGTAAGTTTTGATGTATTTTATTTTTTACAACACAACACATAATATGAAGATATCGAGAAAAAAAACGAGTCCTTGCGTAGAAAAATGTTTTTTTATATAAAAAGACAGTGATTGTTTAAGTGCATATTTGGAGAATATTATTGGCGAACGTGAAAGTGGCTTTTAGACTTATTCGATGAATCTGGAAAAAGCTGGTGAAACACTAAATTTTATGTCGACAGTTTTCATCTTTTATGTTATTGGATAGGGCTGTAGAATATATCTGGACCTGAGTATTAAAAACGCCAAACTCTATTTTCGTTGTTTTGAGTAATAAGTAACTATTGACTTACTCAGTTAGCCCTAGACTCCAGCACAGATCAGAGGTAATGTAAGTCAATAAACCCTCACCAACTACAGGGGGTCATGTAAGATGCCTCTATTTTCAGTTTTTAGTAATCTACAAATCAACAGTCTATTGCATTTACCTTCATAAACACCTTGAGGATAGTTTTTTAATACGGAGTTCTCTACTATGGTTTCATGTGGTCATACAATGTTTTTTTTTTGACAACTTTTTATTAAACTGATGATGGAATGAGTTTATTCCGAAAAGATCTTCTTTAAAATAAAAGTTTTAAGCTTTTAATAAGCATTTTTTTATACCTTAATACACACGACCACCACGTGCTTTGTATTCAACAGGTATACTAGCCATTCCTGGATATCTCCACTTCATGGTTTGTTCCAGTTTCACTTTTAATTTTATATAAAAACTTATTTGTTTGATTTGCATCCACGGTACCAAATCCCTTCCTTAATTTTTTTTCTGTGCACTAAATCTGTTTAGGAGATCTCCATAATTGAAAAATTCTTTTTGGCCAACCTCAAATACGCTAAGTTTGTTTTTTCTGTAAACTGCTTCCACGACAGTTTCTTTAGCTTTTGCAATCGATGCATGTATCGTATCGGCCTCCATATAGGTGTGCCCTGTCCTCCATATGGTGTGCTCCATAAAGTAGTGGTTTATCTAAAGTTTTTATATATTTTGAAGAAATATCAAAAACAAACTTCCTTAAGCAAGAAGGTATTTCTTGACCACCACGTCCTGCTATAGTTTCGTTCTATAAAAAAAAACAAAATCTTATTGCCAATATGATCTGTTTTATATTGTAGACCCATAGTTGTCTTTTGTAAAACGATACACCATTTCTCAAGAAAAGGGGGTCGGCAAACATTTTTCCAAATCAAACGAAACAGTCACATAACTTGGATCTAATTTACTTCTTTCTTTATCTTCCTTCTTATTTTCATAGCAACTTTGAGCCATTTTCAAATGGTTATATAAATCTTGTTCTATTGTAACCTTTTAGTGTACCTTATTTTCTGTAAGGTTTGTTTTATTATAATATGACTTAAGACGAATATTTAATCGATCACACTTCGCACATGTATCATTTGCGGGATGATGAAAAGCAAGATTAAATTCTTCAATAAATATTTCTCTATACTGAAATTCTTTGAGCGAAGCAACTTTTATTTCTTTGCAGTTTTCTCTATAAAGTCTATACATACTTGAAATATTCAAATCTGGGCTAAGATAATGCCTATAAGATTTTTCACGGAAATAGTGGCTGGTGTATGCTGGAAAAGCGAACAATATCTTTCATCTGGTGGACATACCCCACCATGGGCCCTATTTTTCTCTACCATTACTCTTATCTTTTTAATAACGATGTCATAGGTGCTTAAGTACATGTTTTGACAAATTTGTGTTCAATTTCTGGTTGAATCTTTTAAAAACTGTTTCCGAGAAAAAGATCTTCTGCTTTCCATTTTCATTGGTGCCAGCTTTTGCCTATCTTTGAGTTTTTCTTCCACACTTTCCACTAACACTTGATCTTGAGCGTGTCTACTTAATTGGTAAAATCGAGAAAATATATTCTGCTTTTGAGCATTATCAATCTTATCATAACACTTTCGCCTACAGTGGCATGCTGACTGTAATACTTTTTTTTTCAAAAACGACATCAGTATCTAGGCTACCTATTACACCTTCTATAGAGTTTCTTGACTGATCCATCACCAAGTCCATCGCAATACTGGCAGATGCCTGAAATTGCATGTTTACATCTTGTGGAATCATTTCCACAATAACAGCAGCATTACTACAACCAGGCTGGGTAAAAGAAGTTGATATGGATTCTTCAGTAGAATTACTAAACCCATTTTTTATATTAATAAAATATCGCAATTTGCATACCTATTTTATTTTAGTACTGTCCATTTTCGTTTCTATTTCTATCACCAACTTGTCAGCAGTCTTTAATTAGAGACAAGAGCCTTTTAGTTCGGCTTGAATACATTTTTTTGCTTTACTTGCAGTAAACTCACTTAAAATAAAACACAGAAGGGCTGCACCGGTCATTACAACAAAATTTTTTTAAGGTTATGTTTTTGTAAAGGCCAAAGACCAATGCTCACTTGATATTGGCCCTTTAGTTAAGTAGAGTGAGCAGTTCCATGTGCACTTTAGCCGTTTTAATTTAAACTGAATTGGAGATAAGTCCGAAATTAAAATTAAGAAATCGGCAACCATTCATACAAGAACATTGACCTTTTTTGTATTGAAAGTTTTGAATATTATAATTTTTGTGGTGATACTAACTCAATAAAAACAACAATGTTTGGCCATTTTAATACTCTGGTCCAGATATAAATAAAGCAACTTTTAAAACGGCATCTGTCAGCTGTCAAACGCATTTCGTGTGTTAAAGATTGACAGATTTTCGAAAAATAAATAAAAAAATAATAAATAATTGTTAAAAAACTTGGCATTTAGCGTTTTTATATGATAAATTGTATACATGACTTGAAAATATCATTATTTCCGGGCAGTATGTTTCTTTAGTGACTCTTTGTCAGTAAATCTATCATCTACATGTCAAATAGTGTGAATGGTGAAGAGTTGAAAAGGATTTTCTGCGAATTGGAAAGCGAGCCATCTTTAACGAAATCGTAAAATATTCCGCAAAAAACCATTTAATACTTCATGGTATAAAATACGCGAATGTCTATGGTACATATGTCGTATGGTACAGGCAGTAAAATACCCATTATACATGGATACTGAACATAAAGATACAATGTATTTCTATAGAAAATTATCTTTTACGACATTACGTATTTACTTGTATTTATTTACTGGCATAAATTTCAATCAAAAACGCTCGTTTAACATCGATACGAGTCTCTGTATATATCAATATAATGGCCGAATGGAAATTTTTGTTAAGAGAAAAATGACGACACCTCGTCTACAGGGTCTTGCTGAAGACTGTGCTGAAAAAATGTATTCAAATTATGAAATATTTTGTCACCTTATTCTATTTTTTGCTTCACATTTCTTATTTAATCTTATTTATTTCTATGAAAGAGGTACTGATGCGCATTAATATACTCAATTGCTGTCCTCACCTCCAAGAAGTGTTGGTTAACCACACGGGTGAACTTTAGTAAACCTGAGTAAGCCTACTGAAAATTGGGTAACCAAACCAGTGGAAGATAGGGTCAGTACCGACGAGGAAAGGAGAAGTGGTCCTCTAAAATGGGAGTTAGGGGACTTCAGCAACCTACCGTTGCGTTGATAAAATTTTAAAAAAATATTTCATGCATGTAGATAACTTTAAATTGGTTTTTAACTCTAGTTTTTGCAATTACATATGTACACTGATACGGGATATAAACCGATGAAAGTTTCTTGTTGCGTTCTATAAACAAAGTCTCATCTAGTCTAGTCTTAGTCTATCACAGAGCAGAAAGCTGTGTCCACTAGTTAAAAACTTTTGCTCAATTTGGGTGAAGTATGTTTCTAACAGTAGTAGTCAAAGTAATGTTATAACTTTCCAATTGTTATTTCCATAACAAGTATATATAAAACAACAAGTTTTCTTTCTTCACCTGGATCAAGACGATTGAAGTTTTCAGTTATATAAAGCAGCAATGCTGATGCTATCTCTTCCATTACTTCGTTCCACAGCATCATTGTAGCAGTATTACTGCCTATATTATGTACTGCGTAGTTATACGAAGAAAGTTGTCGCTGGTAGAAGATTGATGAGTGAGTTATATTAGGTTAAAAAAGAACCTGTTACAAATCAGTACTTAAAACCACATAATTGGCATTTACTTTTGCAATTTCAGAATATTTTCTTAATGTTTTGTAACCTGCTTCCGCTCACACATGATGAATTTTTCTTTCAATTTCTATTTTATTTCCTTCACATTCATCGCTAGCAGAAGAAAGTTTGATAAAGAGCTTATCACAATATGAACAAGTATCTGGGAAGTCCAAAATGCAAGTTAAATTTCATATAATGATCAATAAATCAATCAACGTTTCGGCAGGAAACCCTTGCCTTTGTCTTCTTCTTCTTACGGTGCCTTATCCTTAAGGACGTTGGCCATTACATTTGTCCATTTAATCTTATTTGTAGCAGCCCTGAATAGTTCTATGGAGGTCATGTTCGTCCATTGCCGTAGGTTTTTAAGCCAAGAGTTGCGTCTTCTTCCTGGTCCTCTTTTGCTATTGACTTTGCCTTCGATTATAAGTTGGAGCAGTTCATACTTTTGATTTCTTATGATGTGACCAAAATATTGTGTTTTCCGTTCTTTTATTATAAGCATAAGCTCTCTTTCCTTATTCATCCTCCGCAAGACTTCCGCATTTGTCGTATGGCTCATGTAGGATATTCTGAGCATTTTACGGTAACACCAGAGTTCGAATGCTTGGATTCTTTTTTGTGTTGCTTCTGTCATTGGCCAGGCTTCAACACCATAGAGCAAGGTAGAGAAAACATAGCACTTAAGTATTCTAGTTCTCAATGAGATGCCCAGTTAATTAATTATATATATATATATATATATATATATATATATATATATATATATATATATATATATATATATATATATATATATATATATTCTTCCCCTTTAAAAACGTTTTCGAACCACTTCAC